TGTGGTCATCTGTATCCCCCCAAGGGCTCAGATCCTCAGTCCCTCTACCTAGAATCATGGTTTTCAATGGAGGGCACATTCTCGGTTGTCACAAATAGAAGAGTGTCCTTGGCAACAAGTGGGTGGAGGCCAGGGACACACTGCTAAACATCGCCCAAGAGGAACCTCCACAACAAAGAATCATGCAGCCCAAGATGTCATTCAAGAGAGACATGGACCTAAAGACCTCACTGGCGACCATCACAAGGCGAAAAAAGCAACTAGCAGAATAATCCAGATGGCTTGGTCCGCACTTCTCCTTGAATGCAATGCTAATTCCCGTCCTCACATCATTCTGTCTTTCTTCCTGTGGCCTGGAATTTCACGACACAATAATCCCATTTCACTGTGCTAAATGCTACACTGAAGAATAATCTCCAAGTACAACCCTCACACATGATTAGCAGCGAAGTACTGGGTTGTCGGAGAAGTCGTGACACATTTTTACACTGAAAAATGAAAAATACGTCATGACTTTTCCAACCCAATCAATACCAAAAAAAAAATTAGCAGTAGACGAAAGCAAAATGAGCATTCAAGCACGAAATAAACCCTTGAGATTCGGCCATAATGTTATCTACATGCCTGAAATGTTCGTGTTTTTTTCTGGAGCGTCCTAAATCATACTCCAGGCCCGCATCAACCGTCCGTGGAAACACTCCGCTAAACACACACACGTGACTGCGCTGGATTTCATAAAACGATTTTAATAGAAAAGTACAAGATATGAACAAAAATAAATAATCTTTATCTCATTTCTAGCCCAGAAAATTGTACACTGCATATAAAAATGGCCTAAGAGCAATTTCCCTCCATTCCTTTATGTTATTTTTTTTTTGCTTTAAAAATACTGAGACAGCATTTTAATTCAATCTTCTAGATTCAAATGGATACATTAAAAAGAAATACCAGCCTTTAATCAGTCTACATCCATTTTTTTTAAAGTCAGCTAACAAGATGATGGCTTACTAAAAGAAAAGACGATCCAGTCACCAGGCTTACGTGTAACGTTTGTGTCAACAGGTAAATTAGAAGATCCCTTTTCTACATTTTAATTCTTACGCTTTTAACTGATTCCCGATCTAAATTTCTTTTTGTCCTCTTTGAAAATATGGCCTCTCGTTCTCACCATTCCTTAGAGAGGGGGGAAACTAGAAAATACTTTAAAAAAATAAATATTTTCAAAGTATACTTTACAGTGATAATGTAGTATTTTCGACCTGTGCCTTTTGCTTATTTGCATTAAATATATGCTTCAAGTTATAGGTACCTTCTCCATCTATCTCTTTATACAGTTATAGCAGGGACCATTCAGTCTGTGGAGACGGTTTCTGCTAATGGTCTCCTGGGGTCCACCTAGTACCAGTCTCTTACTCTGGAGTACTTTTCCTGCCCCAGCATCATATTTAATCATTCCAGGAGCTTGAATAATGTTTCACCACAAGCAATTGAAAATTGGGATGGCAAAATGGTATGAGAAAAGAGTTGAGGTGAGCAGAAAAACATCTACGGTAACGATCTCAGGAAGTCAGTAGCTCAAAGAACTGAACAGATAAATACATCTGAACCTTAAAACAGTCTTCCTGTCCCTTGACTCTGTAAGGACAATTTGGAACAGGGCTCTATTTGCCACTGCCAATATATAATTTTTTTCGTTAATTTTCCTGTATTGGGGAGATCTTGAATGCACTCCAGGATGAGAAAGAAAAATATGCTGATACTGCTAAATCGAGTATATGTTTTTGCAATAAAGAACACCAGTCAATATACAACGGAGGAAAAACTGAAACAGATGTGAGTCCTAGAACCACAAGCGTTTGAATTTGCCCAGAAATGCTATTTTAAACACTCTATATGTTGGTCTACTATTTTTTTTTTTTTGTGGAATAATGCATTCTTGGCCTCCTTAAAAGGTTTCAATATGTTACAAGGTTATCCAGAAAGAAAAAAAGGAAAGGGTCAACCTATCCATCTGTGCAGCGCCGGCTGAATTTCGGTGTACGTTTTCCTAAAGCACAAGAACTCGTATTAATTGCACTTAACACAACGAACCTTTAGTTTCCAATGAGTTTTCATTCTCCACAGACTGAAGCTTTCTTTTCATAAACACTGCTTTCCAGGGGCGAAGGGACACCACACACGATCCGTAATAAATTCAGACAGAGAGGTGCATGCCTTGCAGTGGTAAACACAAAGATGCCTTTTTTTTTAGCCACGAATCTGGTTCTGGATAAAAGTGTGTGCCTTTTTGGTTCTTCGCTGGGAAGTTACAGCAGCAACACGCTCTAAAACAATTAAGTTACATGCATAATGCTAAAAGAATGTGAGCAACCCGGTACCAGCTTTAAGCCATCTGCTGATTTCGGTTTTTGAAAAACATATAGGAAAAGAGAATTCCCCCTTTGTTCTGTTACATATAGAAATCTTTTGAAGCTTCCAAATAGTTTGGTTTGGGTAAAATTCTCCACTCTTCTATTATGTGGACATGTAGTTATCCTGAACTATCCCTCATGGTTTCTCCAGATATCTCTACCATGCGTTCTCTGAAGGACAATGGAAACCACTTACCAATATACAAGTAACATTTTATTTTATATTCTATCTTCCATCTGGCGTAAGCCTTTCAATGTTTGTTCTGTTTTGTTTTGAACCAGTGAAATATACAAATCACGCGAGACAGAAATATGTACATTAAAAGTACAGAATAAAGGCCATAGATGATATACATAATATCTGCATGACACGTAGAATATTTTACATTAAATAGTTTCTTTTAAAAGCTAGGATTGTTAAACTCAACTCTCTTCATAAACATGAATCACTAAAAAGGAACAACATCTGATTCAGCGAATAAAAAAAAAAGGACTTCATGGTTTTTGTATAATAAAAACCAAAAAAGTGACATTTTAAACTAATTAGTGCTTTTGAATTTCAAGATCTTTTGCTTGCAATTCACTGCAATGGAGGGGGAAGTGATGATCCTTTTGCAATAAATTAAGGGCCATGGTTGGCTGAAGTGATGGGAAGGCCACCACGCCTCTGAAAGGTTCAAAGACATGTATCTTTCTAAAAACAAGGCAAGTCTCAGATAAGAACACATTTGATGGCACTTTGGGGAAAGAGGTGTCCTGTTTAGAAAAAAGTCTAAAAACTAGCTATCTTATGTAGTGGGCTAGATTTTTCCCAGGGACTCAAATAAGTACAACCAAATCTACGAGGCACCGCTGTCCACTCTGCAGAATGCGCCGAGTAAAGAGCAACGCTAAGTTTTGAATCTCTCTTAATGCCCATGTCTAGGATGAGCAAATAATGCCCTCTCTATAATGTGTATGGAAATGGAGGTTGGAGAAAAAGGGGGTGGGGTAGGACAGATCAAAGAACTCTTCCAACCAACGCGCATTTCAATGAATCAGACCTTCAGCCTTCTTCAGAAGCCAGGGCACTTCTGTGAACGCTTAAGGCAGACCCAGGATAAAGCCCAGGCCAGGAGCCCAAGCTCAAGACTCCAGAACCTTTCAGAATCCCAGTTGGGCTTTAGTGAAGGATGCTCTCGACAGGGAGATAACTCCAGAGTAACCTGTAAGTCTAAACCACTGGCTGCACTGAAATATAATTATATTTATATTTATATATATGTGTGTGTGTGTATATATATATATATATATATATATATGCTATGTACAAGAGATTTTGAGATATCAGGCACCATTAAACCACATTTCTCCCCCTTATAAATGCAACTGTCCAGGTACACTAGGACCAGTTTTGGGGTACACCTGCAGTATAGCAGGAGAAGCTAGAGTGGATGGTCTACACACAGGATCATAACGGTGAAAGGCTGGGACACCTCTGTGAACGCCATTAGCCACACTACGCCATTAATACGTACAATACGACTGCTCCTGAAAATGGAAGTTTCACTAAAAAGAATCCCTAAGTAGCAAACTGCTTTCCAAGTGGGGCGCCTCATGTTTCATTTCCTGTCCTACAATCAAAGGGGACCCAGCGGAGCTGCCATATGGAACCGTGGCTAGAATCACATCACTGTGTACAGAGGACTCAGGGAGGGCTTGGGGGCAAGGGAAAAGGGGAATTTTAATTCTTTCCCTCAAAGAGGATTTCTGCCCTGGAGCAACACATGGTTACTCTGCCATTTCGGGCTGAGAACTGTGAATGCACCTCTGGTGTTCTTTTCATTATCATCATTTATTAACAAAATATCCTAAGAAAAGGAGAAGATACGGCTCTTTCTACTCAAGCCAATATCTCTCGCCTAAACAAAAGGTCTGGGGTCCAGAATCATTTGAGAATCCTTTTCCAATCTGAAAGCCTAATTGTTCTAGCCACTTCAAATCATTAATATAGGAGTTAATTTTTTTTTCCCCCTGGGGAATTTTCCCTCTCTCGAAGATGATCAAACTAGGACTGTCTGCAGACGGATTGAGAAGACTGAGACATGGGATTCATGTTTCTTTTTTTTCTTTTTTCCTCGAGGATCTGAGATTCTTGCTCGTACGTTTTAAATGATCATTTTGAAAATGTGAAAAGCAGGTGAGCAGCCCTGGGGAAGCGAGGTCTGATTTTTGTCATTTGTTGTTGGGTTTCCCTCAAGACCTTTTATCTCACAACAGAACCTTTACCATTCATTTTGGCCAAAGAAGCTGAATCATGCATGAATTTGAACCCCCTCTTCCAAACAGGCTCTTACCCATCCTATTTGACCTCATATTTGAGAAGAAGAAAATGTCTTTCCTTTAGCTGCTCGATGTCTATTACATCCACACAGCTGAGGTCAGGAAGGCGTTACCTCCCCCTCATCCTGTACTGTCAAAAGAAGTCTCGTATTACCTTTCCAAAGATCCACAGAATAAATATCTTTCTTGAGTCCCACCCCCCCCATTATTGCCGAATAATAATTATAATATTAATAATAAACCACAGGGTTCTTAGATGGTAGCAGAAAAAAAAAAAAAAGATTCCGGTTGCAATTCTTGGGGAAAAATTAAAAATATTTTTTTAAAAAATCACTGTACTTTCTATAAATAAGTGGGTCCTGGGAGTGGGGCTGGGTGACGGGCGGGCACCCACTATTTGCACACAAACTGGTCCACGATCTCCGTGCACTTTTTGCACTTGACGTAGCAGCACCAGTGGAACTTGCAGTGGCAGCGCTCGGTCTGCACCGTCTTGAACTGGTCGTAGCCGCGGCCGCAGCACATGAGCTCACAGCCGTCCATGCCCTCCGACGTCTTGTTGCACAGGCGGCCCTGCGTGCCCAGGGATCCTGTGCTCTCGTTGCGCACGCAGTAGTCGGGGCTGGGGTCGATGTAGACCAGGTCCTGCGTGGTGGGCGAGTTGAAGCGGCTGTTGACCTGCACCAGTTTGCCCCGGCTGTTGAGCCGCATGGCCGCCGCACTGTCATACTTCTCCTTCAGGGCATCGCCCACCTTGCGGAAGTCCGCCAGCTGCAGCCAGCACGTCTTGAGGCTACAGGAGCCCGACACCCCGTGGCACTTACAGGCCACGTCGGCCAAGTTGTACACGGTCTGCAGGGAAATGGGGACAGTGAGTGTGCAGATCATGGAGGAGCCCCAAGGCGGGCATGGGCTACGTCAATAAAGCTCTCCTGGACCTTCTAGAGGGAGCCAGGCTCAGAGCTGGGTTAGTCTGTTTCGCCTT